TTTTGATGATCAATATAAATTTCATATTCAAGAACCAACAAGTACTAGTTAAACTTCTCCAACAAAACTAATATCTACTAGTAAATAAATCAGCCTTTATATAAACTTGTTCAAGTATTTTTTTCGAAGGTTAAGATAATCATCGAGCATTAGATAAGGACTCAAGTATACATGTTGATAACAACGAATAAAGTTTAGTTGAACAAAAATTGTATTAATTCATAGACACATAGTGTGTGCCTATTTTTTTTCTTTTTTCTATTTGTAATTTTCTTTTGTCTTCTGTTGTCATTCACTATTTCTTACTTGGTTTATGATTTGACCTATTTTTGTTAAGTTTTCTTCATTGTGTTATTGTTCAATTTAAAAGAGAAGATGCCATCATCATCATTTTGAAGTACATCTTTTGACATGGTTGTTGATAGAAAAGTTATTTATTTCTTCTTCTTTCCAATTTGTTCTTTCTCTCTACTCTTGTATAAACATTTTCATTTTTACTCAAATAGATTATTATCATTTATTATTCATGAATTTGAAGGCCTCTTGAACGGTAGATATGACTATCGAAATCTGAAAATCAATTTAAGATTCAACTAATAAGGTATGGCAAAAAAGTTCGCGACAATTTTCATATCGATATAAATAGAAAAATTCAGAGAACTTTTTTCAACAAATTATACCACAAGATGCAGCGTGAAAAGCTCTACAACATTCATAAGACTGCTTATTGTATAGTTGCGGTTTTTGTTTTCGAAATAGACAAAATTTTGAGCGTCTAAGTTTCTATGTTGCGAAAAAAATTTTTTTTTTTGGCACACGAGGAATGCATTTTTTCTTATTTAGCACCTGATACCCTTTATTAAAAGATAAATAAAATACACCACAAGATGCAGCGTGAAAAGCTCTACAATTTACAAAGAACAATGATAAAAAGATGGAATAAGAAAGAACAAATTCATCTTGTACCAAAAAAATATCGTTTTCATATGGTCGAAATACGGTCGCTCAAAATATTGTCTATTTTGAAAACAAAAACCACAACTATAAAATAAGCGGTCGTATGGATATTGTAGAACTTTTCACGCTGCATCTTGTGGTATAATTTGTTGAGAAAAGTTCTCTGAAAATTTTCTCTTTTTATATCGATATGAAAATTGTCGCGAACTTTTTTGCCATACCTTATTTTACTGAACAGAAAATGATTTTGAACAAATACTTGATCTGTCGTCGAATTAGTGACAATTTACGATACTCTCCACTAGTCCATCGAGCATTATAAGCTCTATTTCGCAACAAGTCTACCCTTTTTTTCGAATATTTTTTTGCCATTTTCTATAGAAAACATGTTGCGCAATATACAGAAAATTCAGTTTGGGTCCTTCAAATTCTGAAATACAATAGAAGCTACACTACCGACTTTGGCATAAACGAAAGGACTCCTCCGACTCATGTTGATTTTTTAAAACTTGAACTACTAGACATTATGTTATATTAACATAGATTATTTTATTTAGCTTTGAATTCCCGATCTTCTGATATGTACCAATAAAAATATCAATGATATATTGAAACACAATTTAACATATCTTTATAGGATATTTTTTCTTGTTTTTTTTCTTCACGAAAAAGTATGTTTATGCTAAAAGTCGATATTAACTAACTTTTCCAAGGAAGTTTACTCGAATCTAAACTTTTAGGATTGTTGGTTTTACACACTAATGCGTTGAATACACACCAATGATTGTTGGCTAACATTCTTTTCGATAGACGAATGTGTAAAATTTTTTTTTCGAGAATGCTACAAGGAGTTTGTTTCAACAATAGTATTCAAGTATTTTTTTTCAAATTTCTCTTATCATTATTTTTTTGACCCTTGAATATATGCTTGACGGTCCTCTTTGTCTCTGTGAATTAAGAAGTTTCAATCTGTTAATTTTTCCTCAGAAAGATTTGCGTAAGGGTGTGTATAAGCAGGAACTATTCCAAACTCGTATACTTTTTTCTATTCATGATACAGAAAAAGTGTGTCGCCTTCTGCCATTTCGTTTAGATAAGGATAGTGTTTCTCAGTATGATACTTTTTGAAGTGTTGTCAATGTGATGTTAAACGACTTTGGATACGATCCTTGATAATTATTGTAAGTTTTGTTATTGTTAATCATAGAAGTACACGTTGGATCACTCGTATAAAATGGTGTGTGTGATTAAAGTGCTAAGTAGCAAAATGTGACAAATAATCTTAAAGAAATTGATATGAGAGTGGTGTCAATTGTACAAATAAATAGCTTTTTGCATACTAATCATTTTTGTTAAGTGACACATGTGCTCTTGTTTTTTCTTCTTTTCGTTCGCTTGTTTATGTCACCTTTTTCTCATCTTGCATTACATTTAATTATGCATAGAGTATATGCAAATGCGTTCACCCTAACATTATAAAAGACAGCCTCATTCGATGATCTACTTGTTTTCTTAATGGAAAAAATTGCCATTTTTCGCATGAAGAAAAATGCGTGAGAGTATGAAAGCGGGTATACGAATAACGACACAAAAGAAATCAATCGAAACCTAATACTTTGTAAAGACTAAAAAAAACAGAAACAACGAAGATTTAAGAGAAATTAATGTACATCTAGGTCTCAGTTCGATCACTCTGATGTGGGTGTGGGTGTGGGCGTTAGTGTGGGTCTGGGTAAAAGTGTCTTCTATTCATGCTCACTGCGACACTCACATCTTTACACCCACACCCACACCCTCAGGTGTTCAATCACCCAGTTCTTGAGAAAGAAACTCGTTAGCAGACTTAACTATCATAAAAAAGAACCAGTTCATAGACGTAGAATCTGGCAAAAGTCTACTCGTGAAAACGAATTCCATGATGAGATTGGAATTTTAACTATTCAATGCAACTTCCACTTAACGTGAAAACTTAATGGGGAAATTTTCAAAAGCTTTCTGGCAGAGATGCAGCATCAGTCTTTGCTTTTCTTTTTGAAATAATTTTTCTCGTAAACAACGAGACTAAAGTTTGTGCGTTATTTGTCTCATATCAGGATTGAAAGCTTTTACAACAGTGAGTATGTCTCGAAGTAGTTGTGGTGTACAATTGAGCTATGTGTTAATTGGAATTGAAAATACCATCTAGGATAGTTATCGTTCTTCATCTGGCAGCGTTTTTCTGTTGACCATCTTCATCGTTGTGATAGATTGCATACTTCATATATTAATCGTAAAGAAAATTCAATGATGACAGTAGTTTACTAACCGAAAACACTTTTACTCCCGTAACTCTCATATTATATATACATCACGGCGAGGGAGCGCGAAGCGCCCCCCGAAGAGCCGTAACCCATGCTCGTCTCTGTGTACACAGCTAATCTATGAATGACTACGTGCTGTCTTATACGATAAACCTCTGAACGAGTACTGTGAACTTCAATTATCTGATGGCGGAATGGCAGGAAAGGACATTGATAAGTAAATGAAAGTTCTCCCTATCAGACTGTTCGACACTTATGGAAGAAAGATATGAACACGAAACGATTCTTCCGACGCAACACACCTTTTATTTTGGCATCGCGACGTGATGGCGCTTCGCGCCCCCTGAAGAGCCGCGTCTCATGCTAGCCTCTTGATAGGAAAGTCTCATCTCATTTATAATTTATAATTTTGTATTGCTTTTGGTGATTTGTCGCGTATTTATACACAAATCGTATCTAAACTGTAACTGATAGCGAAAATTTTTTTTTAAATTTTTGTACCTTGATGGAGCCTGACATGTTTTATGAAATTTTCATTTATATTATAACTCGAATTAGACAGCTACTCACAAAATGTTCAGTCAAACACGTGTTCGTTCGTCCAAAAAATAGATTGACATTTGTGCAAAGACTTTTGCATCGCATGTTAATATGATGAAGAAAAAATATACATAACACAAAAGTCAAAATGGATGAAGTAGTAAATGCTTATCATAATATTTCTCACAAATTGAAATACTTACAGATAAATACGATAGGAAAGAAACAAGTACTTCACTATTACTAGTCCACGTATTAGGACTTGAATTTGTAGAGTAGAGTTTCGCATGGCATGGAACAAACATTTTTTACAACTATCATTTTGAAATAGATGTCTTTCTCACCGAAATGTGAATTTGGTTATGATAAAATTATGAAATACAAAATGAAATGATGTGAGATTTGATACTATTAACGAAAATGATGGACGTGTTCAGAAAAATTTCTTTTTTGATATTTGACGAGCATGAAGTTTCATGGAATGAATGGGATAGGGCGAGAAATTTTCCGTCTCATTCCATTCTACATGAAGCCGTGTTCTACCTTTTTTTCCTTTTCGTACTTCTCTTTGTAATCTTAAAATTTCAATAAACATTGTTTGCCATGTAAATCTCTTATTTTTACCGGCATAACTATATTTGAGGTTGCTATAGAAACGTATGTCATTACCTTTAGTCCTGATAGCTAAGGCTTGTAATGGTGGGAGAGTCGGAAAATTTCGACTTATATTTTACACTAACTATTTTCGTGAGTTTCAGAGAAAAATATTGTTTTCGTATTTTACATGCTAATACTCAATAAAACTCACAGGTAAAATAGTTAATATGAGTAGCTTGTTGACATAGACACCAATGTTTCATATGATAATGATAAGAATATTTCAAAGCAAGTTTTCTTTACTTTCTTTTTCTTCATATTAATGGACCATAGAAGAAAAATAATGTTCACACATTTATTTAAAGATAAAAACTATATTTTTTTTTGTATAAAAAAGAATCCATTGGGAAAACATATTGGTTGATTGTTTGATTTAAAGCATAGTTTTAGTGATAATAAGCATTGACGTAACAGCTAAAGCAAGTAATGATGGGCTTTCCCGAAGAATAAAAGCACCACTAGTGCTTTTAGTAGTAGTTGTTGAAGGTTGTGTTCTTGTAGTTGAGAATTATTCCATATTGTTGTATCATAATTCATATGTCTTGGTCAAAGATCAAGATGAGTAATATAGATTGATGTGATCATTATATCTGAATAGAAATATGAAATTGTTGGTGCATTTGTGGTTGTAGATGTTGATGAAGATTGAGGACTACTAGTAGTAGGTACTGTAACCGTTGTATTAGATGTAGTATCCGTAATTGTCGAAGTAGACGATGATGTTGAAAAAGTAGTTGTAGAACTTGATGAAGTCGTAAGAGTTGTTGTAATTATTTCGTCACAAAATGCGTCAATTAAACCTGGCTTCGAAGAATCACACTTCGATGGATATGACTTCTCACAAGCATCATAACAAATCAAGTCATCACATGATGGAACTTCCACATTACCTTCATGTGTTGGTGTACAATCTATACCAATACAACAAGAACATGAACAAACACCCTTACCATTTGTTGTTGATATATACATGAAAGTTATAAAACTGATAAGTAAAAGACATTTGTTGTACATTTTTGGATTTGTCTAATAATTTTGAAGGCAATTGTTAAATGAAAACTATCAAAAGTTACTTATAAATGACATAAAAATTAAGTTAAATATATAACTTTTATATCTTATGAAAGAGAGATACAAATAAAAACATAGAGCAACGAAAATTTTTATCATTTCTTTATCTTACAGAAGTACAATAGAAAAGAAGATAAGATTTATTTCTTTTATGAATATATAAAATTATTTTTGTTCGTTATTATTACAAGTAACTTTTACTTTTATATTAATTTGAAAATTGATTTATCAACAAATAAAACATAAACACAAAATGATTGATATTATATTTTTCGTATGCAAGTTTTACATCTTATTTGAATGAAATTCACATAGATGTTTCATATATTACTGACATTCGTCATTAAGTTTTAGATGCTTGTTAAATATGCTCATTAATTCAACTGTCTTGAAAAAGAAGACATAAACAAGATATGATTTGAACTCATAACGTATAAAAAGAAATATGTATCAGTCAAACATGCATATCTGTACTTGTTTTTTTTGAACAAAAAAAATTTGTATTGTCTATACAGTCTAGTTTAATTGCATAAACTGAAAGGCACTTTTTTCTTTGAAGACTCATATATGATTGAAGAGTGCAATCATTGAACTGTTGTATTCTGAGAAGAAAAACGTCTATAAGTTGAGTTCTAGTCAATTGATTTTTATCATTTTTATTTTGCTTGTCTAAAGATGGTTGGTTGTTTACTCCTAAAAAGAAATCGAATTGTCATTTGTTTTAATTTGCGAGAAATCTTAGCAATAATGTCAAATCCTAAACTTCTACCGTTTTTTATTTTAAAGTATGTTTCTAGCTAGAGTTGTAGAACTTGTCAATTTCTTTTAGAATATGTCTTTAGTTTTAGCTTTAGACGAAGTTCTATGAATGAAAAACTATCGATCATAGATGTTAAAAGATTTCTTATTTTGTCGAATGACATTGTTTGAAGTAATTATACATTAAGATTGATCGATACATGAAAATGACATACAGAAATCGGCTCTATATCAAGAATTGTTTCACAATATCTTTATTTTTGTACTTTGATTACTTATTAGTTGTTATCTTCTATGATCTCTGAAGTAGAGAACTTCAAGCTTCTCCAGATCTTGATCCGAATTCAAAGTTTAATTTATTGTCGAGTTCGGTATTGTGATCGAGTCTACAAAAATGTGGAACCGTAGCTCTGTACTTCGAAGTGTCTTATGAATATTCATCAGAAAAACAAACGGTATACATGTCGATTCACATTCTAACTCAAAGAAGTATCATTTTCATACACATTTAACATCATTCAATCAACTACAACATTTTATTTTCTCTTATTATTAAATTTATTTTTATCGAACGATACAATGGCTCGTGCTCTTCCGTCATATTCAATGAAATATCAATAATCAAATGAAAACCATATGATAAACTGAATAACGGACGAATAGATCTTGTACTCACTCAATCACCTTCTTGTAAAATAATCAAAAAAATACAATTGACATCAATTTGATTGCTAACAAAGCAAAACACATCTGTTTTAAATTATTTTCAAATATTTTCTTTTTGGATTTAACTTGATAGAAAAATATTCTTCAAATACATAAATAGGACTATAAAAATGAATGTTAATTAAAGCACTATTGTATTATAATGAAATCATAAATGAATTCTTGTGATATTAGAATACTAAAAAGCAATAATAAATGTGTGAATACGGACGTTTTATTGACGAGGGCATAATACAAATCTAAGAGTGAAATGTTTATTAATATTAGTATTATTTAGCAAAACAAAAAAAAAGAAAACAAAGAAGAATACTTTTCTATTTCTTCTTTGTTTCAAAGATATTTCTTTAGATATATATATATATTAACTTAGGAAATAACAAAAATAGTCGTTTTAGCAGATAAAATCTCACAGAAAAAAGTTGATCAAGTTTTTATCCCAAAAAGTATTTGAGCCAGTAACCATGCTTAATTACACATAATCGATTTGTTGAAAGTATTTTTTCAAATAATCTTTTTTTTTCTAAAATTCATCATAAGAATTAGAAACTATCTCAATCAATCAAATTTTATTGGATATAACGAAATATAGTGCATATATGAAATGATAGTAGATGACAAACTCTGGATATATTACATGTAAATCAGTTCAACTTCTTCGAACTCGAACAATCTGTATTACTTACAATTTGGTGCATCAATTTAGTTTCACAACAATGTTTCATGCCTTTTGCAAAAATAACTAGTCAAATACTCTTTGGAAAAATTAGCAGATATCGAAACATGAGAGACTTCTAATCACTAATTTTCTAAAACTACTTATTAATGAAATGAGAAAACAAAGATCATCGACTAAGTGCATAAGACATCAAAACTTATTACAATAATATTCAACTATAAGTTCATAAAGATGCTTTGATTATCCTATATTAGAATATATTCATCACGATTTTCTATGCATCTTATTATACAAGTAAAATATTAAATATTTTTCAAGTGCTCGATTTAATTTATAAACTTCATCAATTAGACGTTCGCACATATCACAACTTGAAGTTCTCTCAGCAATATAATGATTTTTTTTAATCAAAAATTATTTGAAAAATACTTTCAACAAATTGATTATGCGTGATTAAACATAGCTATTAGTTCAAATACTTGATTAATACTTTTCTCTAGAATTTTATCCGCTAAAAATCACTAGTTTTGATATGTTCTAAATATGTATTAAATGTTTAACATCTAGCAAGAACTTCACCATTTCGAATATATAAATAAAGTCGTTGATCAACTGGTAATGAAACAGGTAATGAAACTTGACGATGTCGTGGTAATTTATCACGTCGTGATTCTCGTATTTGTACTGGTGAATTTGTTCTTGCTGTTGTTGTTATTAAACTTTCATTAGGTGATGCTGTTGAATAATGTTCAAGATAATTTCTTCGTAATGTATCAGAATGTTCTTGTTCATGTTGAACATCATTTAATGGTTCAATAGTAGCTGTTGTTTTAACTTGATTAATAGTATTTTCATTATTATCATTACGTGTTCGATCAGCATGAATACGAATATTAAGTTTAGAATCATATGGTAAACTAGCATTAAGTGATATACGTTGACCATGTTTTTTTGCAATATTTGTATCAGATTTATAATAAATTTGATTATCTGGTTGAAATACATGTTGACTACATGAACGACGTTGAGGTGAAAGAGATGATTTTTCATCATTCCAATGAACATTACGTCCATGTGATTGATGACGTGAAATAGTATTATGAACATAAGACATATCTGTAGTTTCTTCGTTTAAATGAACACTAACGTGACGATGATTATAATTAATTGGTGAATGTAGAAAAAAATGTAGAACACTTGTTTGTGGAGATTGTGATATTAATTGATCAAATGGAAGTTCAAAAGAACTTTTTGGTGTACTTGCACTTTCTGATGTTAATGAACAACACGATGATGATGATCGAATTGGAACACCACTATCACGTGATGATGGAGTTGTTGTACGATAGAATTCGTTTGGTGATGAATGAAGAACGTCAAGTTCTTGTAATTTTGTTTGTAAATCGTTAAAACGTTCTCTAAATTATCAATAAAATAAAAAAAAAATAAAAATTTTATTTTATTTTATTAGAATTAATGATAAAGAAAATTTTCGAAAAGTTTTTAATATAAAATAGACTTACTCAGAATCGCCATAAGAAAAAAGATTGACAAGTGTATAGAACATTTTATTATTTCGATTTATGTATGGATTTGTCGTTTGTGAGTAAAAATTTTTTTTTCCATTGTATCATATTTATGTGAGACAAATATGAGAGAACGTGTCATAAAAAAATTTATGATATTTTAATGTTAGCATGTATATATGTCTGTGTAATTTAATGATTATACGATTGAAATTATGTGGATGACTGAGCTTAAAACAAGGTCTTTGAATAAAATAAGATGTTCAAATCTCTGTCTCGTTTACGATGCTTACTCAATATATATATATATATACATGTAGAGATGATGAAGAAATGTATAAGTAGTTTGGATTAGATTACATTTATGAGAAGACATTCAAATCTCGAAATTGGACACCATCGAAAATGAATAGCCTTCGATCAGTTTAAGTGTGAACTCAATTTATCATCATTTCTCATTCGTCTTTCATATATATGTGTGATGAACTCTCTCATAAAAGAGAAGGAAGAGAAGAATTTCATTCCTTAACATACATCCTAAAAAAAGGTCGAATATGTGTCTGCCCTTAACTTTACATATTATTTCATGCTCTAGAGAAACAATGTTTTTTTTTCTTCTTCTTTTATCAAAAATGATTACTTGATAGCATCGTCCTTTCGTCGAAGTTCATTATAACGTTGATATGAATTAAACAGTCGTTCGAATGTTGATGTCAATTGTTGTTGATCATCATTTATTGATTTCATATTTAAGTTATTTTGTTGTTCAATTTTATGAGTAAATTCAGTATCTTCTTTACTCGATGTATATATAGTACTCATAGCTCTTCTTTATGATGTACTTTTAAAGTGAATGTTAGGATAAAATATAGAGCAGGATAAATAAAGAAATGAAGAGAAGAGAGAATGGAAGAGAGACGTAGCAATGTAATACATATATACAACTAGGGGTAAAGTTAAATACACAAATATGAACAATAGATAGAGTTCCATTATCGTTTTTTATTACCTAGCTGTCCGATATCGATCGATACGATTGGCGTCATTGACCCTTTGTCTCTCTCTCTCTCTTTCTCCGTCTCTCTCTTTCCTTTCATTGAAATACGATAAGATAAAGTAGGCATGAGAAAAGAGAACATACATCAAACAATTAAAACCTACTAAGTTTAAAGCCTAGTATAAATTACACTATATATCTAGTCATTAGTTTTAGT